TGAAAGTTGAAAACAATGGTGCTGTAGTTTATGTTGGAAGCTCCCTGACCGTGCACAATCCTTTGTTTTTTGTTCAAGAATTGTGACTGAATACATTCGATCATGGAATGTTTCTATTGGTCAGTAAGTTCAAAAAAATAGGAATACTATAATTGAACGTTGTACACGGTCAGGTCCAAAAAAGTTAACAAAAACATATAACAAAGGGTTTTCCAACCATTCCACTTTAATTAACTTTGATTCATCTGGCGACATTTTTAAGGTTCCATTAAAAAAATTCGACGAGGAAAACCCCTTTTACGATTTTCCTATTATATGCAACAGCAACAGGGAGAGTTTAGGAAACTGTAAAAAAAAAAAAACCTTTTACACTTAAATACATGAAGACAATTTTTAAATCTGTTAAAATTCTTATGGATTCGTTTTTCATAGAATTTCTCAATAAGTCGAGACAATTTTAACTCCCCTTTTAATTAGAAAGAAGAAAGCAATAGTAATAGGCCAAAAATGCAAGCTTTGCGTTATAGTCAAAAAGTAGCATGTAATGGGAGATCAGCACAAACACAACATTTGAAAACATCCTGCATTTTTACACATTACTTATACTATCACAATCCATCTGCTAGTAACCCATATAGTAGTGCGGGCGCATGCACCCTTGATTAAAAAGCTGACAAGTGTTTTTCTTTGCAGGAAGGAATGCTTTGCCTCGGTATCTAGGCCTGAGCCTTAGGAACTTCTTCAATGAAGATTCGGGACACAGATTGCCAGCCCGTGTAGGCGTCACCAGGTGTTGCACTTGGACAATTACCAACCCAAAATCCCACGCGCACCCTTCCTTTGTGGATGTTGTTACAGTGCCCCTCAATATGGCGGACTCGGTGAAGATCTTGAGTGTTGCCTTGCCACATGTACACCACACCGTCAATGGGTAGAGGAGCTGAGCATTCTGCACCGTTAAAAGTGAAGTACCAGCGTTTGCAACATCTTGTACATTTGTAGATTCTAAGGGCACCAGTCCAGGCCACATGAAGAGCGGTGTCAGAAAAGTTCTTGGTGAAGACACAGTCCTAAATATGTGGGAGATAAACGTAGAATAGTCACATCATTTGGTTATAATAGGGGGTAAGATAAAAGCATAGCATTTTATACCAAATAAAAGATTTAAATCTTAAAAATTTACCTTTACTAAACCGTTGTCTTTGTCATCGTTTAATTTATTCCATGCGCACTCTTTCCAGTTCTCACTCTTTCTTGTTCTCAGGCATCAGACCTGGGTTCCCAGGTTGTGCTCTTTGTCCACACTCTCCTTTTGGACCAGGTGGGCCCTGTACACCAGGCTCTCCTTTAGCACCATCTTTTCCATTTACACCAACAGGTCCCCGAGGCCCAGTCTTTCCCGGGCTTCCCGGGTCACCTTTCGCTCCTTCTCGGGCATCACGTCCGTCACGGCCTGGTAACCCGTGCATGCCTGGAATACCACCAAACCCGCAGAATGGGGGAGATTGCTGGAGAGATAAACAAAAAGTTACTTTAAAAAGTGTTATTGTGCGTTGAGCAAAATAACTCCCTCAGTGATTTAGTCTCATCGGCGATGCTTAGCCACCTCTAGGGAAAAAAAAAGAAAAAGAAAGAAAAGTACTGTGCCTTTATGACACACTTTAAAAAATTTAACCCCCTTCCTTTCCCCCACTAGCCTTTCGGAAAATAAACCACTGAAAAAGTTCTGACGAATATTTCATAATGTCTGCAAATAACCTTAAAATATTTTTTTCCCTTCGTTTCCCGTTTCCCAACTGAGTTTGGCTCGTTGTGTTAAGTGTTGTGGAGAAAATTTACATTAACGCATCGTTAGATATACGGTCAAGACATACAATTTAATCGAGACAAGAAGTTAGTTGATGCTAGTGGATTTAAGAAGTTCGCTAATACCTCTTTCTAAATTATTTGTGCTGATAAAGAGTGAGACTTTGTTAAAGTCATGGAAACCATTCTATTTTTTAAGGGAATGTCTCCCATATCCGGGTTTAGCATTAGTTGTTGTTGTCATTTATTATGAATCGTTACTAACAGTTTTTTCTAAATTATCGGAATTTAAATTGAAGCAGCTACACATTTATCTCTGAGCTTTGCAACATTATCACGATTTTCAAGTTTTCTGAAAGATGCCATCAATTGTTTAGACATTCCTTCACGTCAACCGAGAGATAAATACTCACAGAAAAGTATCCTTCAGCAGTTATTGGATTGCGCAAAATGCAAAGTTCTTTTCTTGATGTTTTTTCGCTATCATTTGTTTCAGTTGTATCAGGCATGGTCCCGCGCAGAAAGTTAATTGACTCACCATATTGCTCGAGGTTTGTTTGGTTTTGTTGCCCGCCACTGCTGTCAAGACCAAAAATGACGCGCAACAGCAAATAAACACAACAGAGCTAGAGAAACTTTACACGCTGTACTCATCGTGTCGGTTTTTTAAGGGTTTTTCTAAAGACGAAGTTGGAAAATAAAGTCAGAAATAAAATCAATTAAATGGTCAAACAAATCCTACCACTAGTTTTCTAAAAGTGTCGTGTTCATAGTTTACCCGAAGAAGACCCTCATAAAAACTAAATGTAGCTGAATCCTTATCCTTCATTAAAACTCGCAGTTTTCAATTTATCGTGAACTTACTCTCAGGGGCAGCCAACGACAGTTCCTTTTGAATACATTGGAAGCACTTCTTAGGCTATAATCCAGGGTACTTTTAGATATCTAGAAATGCATTTCTAACCGGAGCTATAAAATGATCTAAAATATATCTATTCGGTCATCCTAGACGAACTTGAGCTTTTTCGAAATTACAAGGGCCTCAGTTTATTTACCGAAAATTTTAGATGTAATTTAACGTATTACCAAAGTGAGAATTTTGCTAATTCCTTTCTTCATCACATTTTTGAATCCGAAAATTTTAGGTTTCCTTTTTTCTACGAAAAATAGCCCAACCCGAGGAGTGAAATGTGAAAAATTAAACTATAGAACTGAATCGCGAGGGATTTTTCAGATAACCTTCGAAAATTGTACATGAATGGTACAGTCATCTAGAAATTTTTAGCTTTTAGCCGTCCTAAAGTAATAAGAAATTCTAGGCAATATTTGCTTCTCCGAACAGATTTTTACAGAAAACAGTCGCCTTCTTACTCAGTCACAGCTATTTCTGTGCCCCTCGTCGCTTTTAAGAAATCGCACCCATGGATGTATATATTTTCAACTACACTATGTTCGTGAAACAGATTTTGAAAGACTCTCCGATCAACGTAAAAAATTGTAACTCCTCTTATTTTTTAAGCTGCAGTCCAGTTCGCGAATTCATTGCGAGAAAAGTGAGATTATCGAGTCTGTTTGGGTACTCGCATTGCTCGAAAAGTCTCAAACTAATTGCCAATCACTACGCATCGTTATGAAGCGAAATTTTCCGATAGCAAGCGAAAAAAACCAGACTCATAGGACTTGAAAAAAGCTGGAAAATTTGTTACCTGTGAACTCTATTCTGCTGGAGTTGATCGCCGTATTATAAAGTAACATATATAGGCCACGTTAGTTTAACAACAGCTTTTTCTTCCTTTCTGTTGATTCTTTGTTCGTGTTTTAACAAGTTTTTGTTTACTATAAATTGATTATCACTGCTGGACTGATTGATAATGAACATTAAATATTGACTGAAAATTTCTTGATCCAAAAACTATTTAGTACTGTTTGGAGTTTTAACTTCCTGTATTTAGTTTTTGTTCCGTTTGCAGCATTAAGTTAGATTAAATCACACGCCGACCATGAATTTACTGCTTAACAAAACAGCTCCATACCTACGAGAACATGAATTACATACTAGGTATAAATTTTATCACGTATCAGGTAACTATGCTGAAAGGCCTTACTGACAGGAATACTGTCACTTCTAAAGTTGTCGTCACTAATAACAGATGTTAGTATCAGTTATTGAAATTGATAACATTGTTCAGAACATCCACAACACGAGGGGAAGTGGATAGAACTTAATGCTCCTTAGATTGAGATCTAACACTGCGAGAAAGGCTTTTTACCTTCATTTGATAGATCGAAACGTTTTGACAATATTCTAAACAAAATTAATTAGTATAACTCAGTCGGGATTTTTTAAAAGCCGTATTTTGGAATTCTATTGATCGCAAAAAAACTGAAAATAAAGTACTTTTCATTTTTATCAGTTCAGCTCGTTAATTCAACCATCTTAACATTTTTGTTTTTATTTTTATGGGGTTTATTTCTTACTAATTTGCAATCCTGTAGTGATCGTTTGACCAAGGAGGGCGGGGGGGTACTCCCTTATTTGGCCTCATGTGTCTCTGAAGAGGATATTTCCTTAGAAAAGGGCGTTATAACGTAAAGTCAGTTGTCTTTAGCATAATTATGAAATAAGTTGTATAAGTATTTAAGGTTGTACATGTATTTGCCTTTTCAACTCTCATGACTTAAACTGTCTTGTTCGATTAGCTCACTTGTTTGCTCGACATGTTCTCTCATTTGTTTGTTTAGTGGAGCTATTGTCTTCCATTTGATATCATGTATGGTTGACTGGGTTGACGGCACAAGTGTCATTTTTTAATTATATATCGTCAGCTTCTCTATTGACTTACTTTATCAGTATAGAACCCTTGAATAAACTCGAAAACCTTCCTTTGTAATAATAAAACGCGAGACTGAAATTTAGAAAAGGGAAGAGCTTTACAGGCATTTCTAATACAATACAATGCTTCAAAACCAATATTTTTCTGCGGAAAAATTGGCGATGGGAAGACTTCGCAGTCTACAATGTGAAACCTTATAACTATCTATTTTCGTTACCATAACAACTTCTGCTAGTAAATTTGCTTCCGCCACGATGTTAGAAAAAGGTAAAATTCGAGTGCGAGTTCGAGAAATGGTCAAAGGTTTTGAATTGTGACAAACAAAACTACTGGGACAAAAAAAATGAGCAATAAGCGCCTGTATCACTTAACCGTTTTAGTTAATACATACATATATATTTTTAAAAATTAGAAGCATTTTAATGTTTCATCTTAGTTTTGTAAGTATTTAATTTGTTTTTCGTTTCATTCATTTTTTTTTAGTCAGTCTCACTGGTGCGGTCCTTCCAGACGGTCGAAGTTGAATTTGGATTATACTATGGCTTGCTTTTTCAAAAATTACTATTAAAAACTGTTGCCGATAAAAGAGAAGGAAAGTAATAAGTTCAGTTCATTGTAAAATTATGTGTATCGAGTATCCGGATGATATATGCCAAATAGCCATCACGACAAAACCTAGGCAGCAAAATTCGTTGTCTCTACTGTGGGCAGACTGTAATGAGAAACGGTGAATCTGTAATAACTGAAGTAGTTTTCGAATTGCATATTAGTTAAAACCATAACCATAACTACGGTTTTAGGAAATATACACTGACCTCACAGCACAATTCATCACTCGCCATTACAGCTGTATACGGTAGTCGATCCTAAGAAGTGGTTAAAATTCGGGAGCTATAGATTTTCTTTCGAGGCTTTACTTAATCACCCTATTTGGTTCATTCTCCACGTTTTTCTAGAAGTGAACAAGTGTTACTCGGCGTTCGAGTGTTACACTCCCTTCTCATAGTTACTGAACTTCACCGTAAAAGCTCAGTTGATCATCACATCCTGTAGCTTTCGTTCTCACTGCCAATAACACTCTGAGTTTCGCTGTGAAAATACTTTCGCAGTGCAATGAAATCTTCAAATATTGTTTTTACATTTTTCAAATGCTATAGTAGCGCCGTTTGTTTCAAACGGAAGAAATATAGCGATAATTAATTCATTTTAATTCGAGTTTATATTCTTGTAGTGTTCTAAGGTCAAATGTTTACCTCTCGAAGACTCCGATATTGTTTGATAGTAATGATAATTTACGATGCCCAAGTATTAGCCAATGGTGGCTTAATGTTGCGGTGTGATTTTTAATTGAGCGCTGCATTATATTAATAAAGGTTATATTAGAAGCCGCGCTTTGTAGCCCGCTAGAGGGAGGATATTGTGAAAAGTATTTCGCCGATCGCTTCGTTCGTCACACATTCTCTCAGGCTAATCTTTGTAATCAGTGAGTTCTGTTATGTGTTTTGTACATTCCAAATCAACCGTTTGAACTTGGTAAGAATTTATATTAAATCTAATTTCGTGTTGAAAATTTAATCTTGATTGTTTCAAATGACAAGCAGATTATTATAAGCCATGTTTGCGATCGTTTGACACATCCTTACCTCATGCACGAACCTAGCTTTATTCTGTAGAGAGCAAAATGATAAAAAAGTTAGTAGAAGGAGAAAACGTTAGTGCAATAGGATTTGGGCCAAAAAATGGTAAATCCTCTTGTACCACAATAACTGAAGGAGATATGAAACTGGTGTAGCGTTCTGCGGAAAACTAAGCACGGTATTAGTTTTGATTCAGCTATAGAAAAAAATCAGTCCTAGTAATGTTTCCAACCTTTTATTTGATATCATCAATTTTGAAGTCTAACAGCTAGACCAAATAGTAAAAAGTATCATTTTGCTAGGCATACACGGGAAAACTGAAAAACGATTTGAAACGCTGTAATGCCATTATAGCATACAGATGTGGAGTTTAAGGCAAACTCTGAGCATTAGGAACTGATTCAGTTTTTAATCATAACTATAACAAAATTCTCAAATGTGATTGGCTATGAACTGCCCTGATTTCAGCTTTAATAGGACAATTTGATACAAGAGTACGCGTAGGTAACTGGACACCACGCGCCATCACACGCGCGCTTAAATTACTTTTTTTTCACTGCTAGCAGAAAAAATTGGAATTTCTTCTGTTTTGATTTAAAAAAAGAGCCTCATATATCACAAATTTTGTTAAAGTTATGATTTATTGGTAACAGAACTTCGTGTCGTCTCGAACTCCCGCGGATTTTGTTAATCACTCGTATGATTACAGACCAAATTGGCCTCCACTCAGTCCTGTTACCATTACTAAGAAGAGTAGTTAGACTATACAGTATGGAACCTCCCGGCAAAAGTTTACAATGCTCTTCAACTTTTCAATTACTTAACGATGACGAAGTTGGAGCGATTCGAGCAAAATATTCGTTTAGTTTAAAATTGTTGCTCTGAGGTTTGGAATTTCGCTATCATAACAATTGCACGCGATGCCTCAGCAAGGTACCAACAGTTTTCTTTGCAAAACGAATTAGAAATACGCCTACAAATCACCCCTCTAGCAAACAAAAATCTCCTTTCCAGGGTATCTATTTTCCTTCATACACGTCAGAGAAGGCTCTTAACAGCAGTGCTGGTGAGAGTGCAAGACTATCCAAAATTGCCAAGGGGAAAACAATGAATTTCCTTTCTGATTACATTTGGTCAATTACGGTGGATTTCCATTATAGAATTATTACGTGCATACGCACGTAATTTTCTATTCAGTGGACTATTCTGGGTTGCATTTTAGGACACAAACTGAGGGAGAAAAAATTTTTAGCAAAGGTTAAAAATATCTATGAGAGCCATTGTCACTCAAGTTCTGGTCGTTCATGGCTTTCCCGGTAATCATGATATCAACACTATGCCGTATTTACTCGAAAGAGCACCGTCCTCGAATAGGTTCTTGGACCCGTGGCTCAAAAGTCTTGTTAATTACTAGGCAAGAAAAGCTGTTTCATTTAAAAGTCAAGATCGAGGTTTCAACAGTCTCGCAGATAACTAGCACTCTTCGCAAGACAGGATCGACTGAGTTTTACTTGTGTACTATAGCACTTGCGCTTTTATTGTTTATGTTAATTTCAATATTTGGCTTTCGGGGCCTGCAAAGTTTCCGGGACTTTGGAGAAATGGGCCCCTTTTCTGTCGCTATCCTAATTATTTGGATGCAAAAATAACCATTTTTCAATCTTTAGAAAAATATTTTTTCTTTTGTATCCTAAATGTAACCCGACATGTCAAATGAGGGCGCTTTTAATGGTCCCATTCAAAAATATTTCAATAGCAAAGAGAAAGATGAAGATTGTGAATGGATCAGGAGCACCCAACGACTGTTTTGTGTGAAATATCTGTTCAAAGAAGCAAAAATTGCCTAGAATTTTCTATAGCTTGAGGAAGGCTAAAAATTTCTAGGTGACCGTTCCATTCATGTACACAATTTTCGATGCTTCTCTAATAAATGCCCTACGATTTTCTGAAGTTTCATTTTTCCCATTTCACTCTCCGGGTTATGTTATTTTTCGTAGAAAAAGGAAACCTAAAATTTTCGGAATCGAAAATGCAATGCAGAAAGGAATCAGAAAAACTATCACTTTCGGAAAACTTTAAATTGCTGCTAAAACTTTCGGGAAAATAATGCTGAAGCCCCCGTAACTTCGAGACTCAAGTTACCCTTGAATGACCGAACAGATATAAATTTCTTAGCGCCACTTAGAAAGTGCTCTGGATAACCTAAAAAGTGTTTTCAAAGTAATTAGGGAGAAACCGTCGTTGGGTGCCCCTGATGGATAACTTTTGTTTAAACTTCTCTTATCAGGGTTCATTCCAGACGATATTACGTGCTTTTATGAAATTTGTCTCTAAATCACCCAAATATATGGTTTAACTACATGTATGAACTATTTGAAGGATTTAAAACGCGAAGGACTATTAACTAGCGAAAGGTTTGTAATTAGAGGGTATCAAAACAAACACAAACACGCACTTTGCAAAGCATCCTGCGACTTTTAATGTTATCGTTCCATTACCATTACAAAAATCGACCTCCTAGTAATCTGTAGAGCTGGGTGAAAGCGATAGTGTTTATCTTAGCAAAATGGATGTTTTGTCTCGGCATTTAGGCCTGAGCCTTAGGGACTTCTTCAATGAAGATCCGGGACACAGAAACGTAGCCTGTGTAGGCGTCGCCGGGTGATCCCGCTCGACAATTACCAACCCAGAATCCAACGCGCACCCTTCCTTTGTGAATGTTGTTGCAGTGCCCCTCGATATGGCGAACACGGTGAAGATCTTGAGTGTTGCCTTGCCACATGTACACAATACCGTCAATAGGTAAGGGAGCTGAACATTCTGCGCCGTTGAAAGTGAAGTACCAGCGTTTGCAACAGGATGTACACTTGTGGTTTCTAAGGGCACCGGTCCAGGCCACATGAAGAGCGGTGTCAGAGAAGTTCTTTGTGAAGACACAGTCCTAAATATGTCAGAAATAAATATAGAATGGTTAAATCGCTTAGGTATCATAAGATAAAAGCAGAAAAGATAAATGGGGACCAAGCAATTTAGAAGAAATTAAGAGTTCTTGTAACTTTACCTTTATTAAACCGTTGTCTTTGTCATCGTTTAAATCTTTCCATGCGCACTCTTTCCAGTTCTTAAAAGGCATCAGACCTGGGTTCCCAGGATGTCCAGTTTGTCCACGCTCTCCTTTTGGACCTGGTGGGCCCCGTACACCAGGCTCTCCTTTAGCTCCATCTTTTCCATTTACTCCAGCAGCACCCATTACTCCAGGAGGTCCCTGGGGCCCAATCTTTCCCGGGCTTCCTTGGTCACCTTTAGTTCCCTCTCGGCCATCACGTCCGTCACGGCCTGGTAACCCTGGAGAACCGGGCTTGCCATGCATGCCGGGAATCCCACCGCACCAGAATGGGGGAGATTGCTAGAGTATCAAAGAAACAAACAGTCATAAAACTGTAATTGTATCTCTGCCATTATCTCACACTGTAACCTAGTTTGTCTTTTCAAAATGCTAATTCCCATCGCTGATACTAAAAGCCATTAACGACAATAAAAATGTCCGTGTTCCTGTACGCCCACTCCTAACTCCTATCAGTAATCTTAATTATAACAACCTTCTTTCCGCTCACTAATCTTTCGAAAAAAAAAAGCTAAAAAAATATAATAAAAAAATATATTGCGTTTTTTACAAGTCAGTCCATAAAAAAAGAAAATAGTCAAAACCGGAATGGTGATAAAGTTGCTTGCTTTTTATATCCCGTTTTCTACTCCTTTTTGTATTTAAATTTTCTTTTTCCTACTTTATTTAGCTCTCTTTTAAGTTCTACGGAAAGTTTCCTGAACTATTTTTCCCTAGTCTTTCTGAGTTTTATTAACAGCGAGCTGTTGCTTGGTCAAGTTAAAGTATACGTTTTCGCAATTTGTGTTTGGTTGTTTTGTAAGTTACAGGAATTGAAGCAGTAACACTGTTTTCTGTCTACGTAAACTTTGCACAATCGAATCAAGATTTTCACTTGACTTTGAAAAGATGCGATGTATTGTTTTAACTGTACCTCGATCCAGGGTAGAGAAATTTTTGTTGGATTATGATAAATGTAAGGCTCTGTTGTTCAATTTGGTCGTTATTATTTGTTTAAGTTTTAATAGGCATGATCGTTATGCAAAAATCTATCTAACTGACTCACCATATTGCTCAAAGGTTGTTTGGTTTTATTGGCCGCCATGGCTGTGAAGGATGAGAATGACGCAGCAGCAAATAAAGATAACAAAGCCAGAGAAACTTTACACGACGTGCTCATAGTGTCGGCTTTTTCAAAAGGATTTTCTGGAGGCAAAGTTGAAAGTAAAATGGTTAGAAACATCACGGGAATGTCAAACAAATATTACCAATTTTCGCCCTCCAGTACCAGTGTCGTTTTTGAAGTTCTCCCAGTCATGCTAAAGAGGCCTCGTCAAATGAAAACTGAAAGAGTCATGAAATTTCATATCAGCTTGCAATTTTCTTTTTAGTGGCAATATTTGCAGTGAATTTCTCTAGCTTCTTATGCGTTATTTTAACAGCAATAAACCATGTGCTAAATGATTCTTAAATATTTTCCACATATTTTTCCTATTTGGAGATATTCTGTTCTAATTTCACGGAGTCGCGAGTACTTGATTTGTCTCAGTGCTTGCTGAAATCTTCATGATTGTTCCCGTTTTCAACTAAATTACCATGTAAGTGAGACAATTATGAAACCTTGTAACTTCTTTCAGTATTGATAATTCTCAGTTGAAATTTCCGTTATGGGCAAAAGGAAAGGGAACCAGGGAAATAAGGCACGAAAAGAAAGATATCAATTACCTGTAGACCCTCTTCCTTTCGACTTGCTCGTTGTGAGGAACAATTATGACCACGTGCGTTTAAGAAGGACCTTTTCTTCCTTTCTGTTGATTTTTTGTTCGTGTTCTGGCGAGTTTTTTGTTTACCTTAATTGGATTGTTTCAGTCATTGATACTGAATAATGAATATTGATATCTTCTTTATCCAATAACTTAGAATATTATAAGTTCCTGTTTATTTTGTTGTACCCTTCGATTTGGAAATGAAACACTAACTTATTTAAGGCTACACTGTAAAATGAAAAGAGCCAAATCGACCCCAAAGGCCAAATCGGCCCCAATTTCTCGAGGGCCGATTTGGAACATGCTGGGCCGTTTTGGATAGAAAGAGTCAAAACAGTTCTAGATGGTACCAATTCGGCCCATCTAATTTCTGAATTGGCTACACTAAAAGCCAATTTGGCACTTCCTCTCAATTTGGCCCTTCCGATAGCCAAATAAAAATTCCGATTTGGCCCCAAGAAGGTCTACGCGGACAGACCGCCTTTTGCCGTCAAAAGGGGCGCAAGGAGACCGAGGTGTTCGGTTGAAGTAACCATACATCTGACACAAACCAAAGTACGGTCCGTTTAGTCGAGCAAGGAACTAAGATAACTTTAACGTAGACCTAAAACCGTGACGACAGTCAGAGACTGTAAAGCTAATCATGGTTTCGAGCGAACCTTTTGCCTCGAGCGAAGCCACGCTCCCGAATGTTCTGCACGTGATTTCAATATCGATAACATTACATGATGCGTCACGCAAACTAAACGCTGGGAGGGCGTTACAGTACAATATCCCTCGGTATTGATAGCAAACAAAGACCCAGCCATCATGTACATATATTTTCTGATTTATAAGTAAAAGGTTTTTAAAATTTCGAACGCCTGCCACGCAGGCTAAAACTGACACGACATGTAAACAATCGAAAACATATTTTGGAAGATTTTGGAAACAATACACAATTGGTCAGCGGGCTTTCCCTATGTACATGCTCTTTGTGGTCGTCCTTTTGGCGTCCATTTGAAACTACTGCAACGGTTGCGAACATGACAGTTTCTTTGGGGATGAGGAGTCTTGTATTATACTTCTCGATAGCATCAAAGCACATTCAAGGTGTTGTTACTAATTATTTTCGAACTATGAGCCGTCGTTGATCCAACACTTCGCTCTTGAAGTTCGTCGTGAAGAATCGGAGACAGAAGCCTCGTGAGGCGCAACGGTTTTCAAGATGAACTGCACAAATATAACAAACGCTCTCCCAGAATCAAGACTTTGCTGGAAAAAACCGATAGTAAGACCAGGTAAGCCGCCCTGATTCGCTTTCTTTCTACCAAATGCAAAAGTCTGAGCTATTTTAACCACGTTTGATTAAACAGATTTCACGGTCACTTAAGTCTACCTTGTCGGAAGGCTTTGAAGAACGAGTCATTACAGTGTAGATGCTTTTAATTTTATGATCTAATGATAAGGAAATAAGTGACCCTGTATTCTGTAGTTAAACCAGTGGAGGAGTTAAAAAGCACTTCTTCCATCCCCTCACTGTCCCCTATTTAAAACAGGGAGAATGATAAACAGAATGAAAAAACCTTAAAGCCATTTCAACTAAAGAAGATGGTAAGGATGATGTGGTCTGGTTATACATTTACACCGTAGATTTCAGTACTTGTTTTGTTTTAAAGTAAGGTTTACCTTACCAATGCATTATTTCTCTTGTCTGATAAATAAGTGCAAAATAAATGCATTAAAAATAGAGAAATTTAAAACCCTTTAAATCCTAAGATCAAAATTTGAATGCTCATTTGTTGCCCCTATTCATTTCCTACAGAAGTAGTGGGAAGAAGTTGATAAAATATCAAGCAAATGGTGTGCTCATGTCCATAATTCTCATGAACACTCTGTTTTACAAAGCACTGATATTGCAAGGAGAAATTTGATGCTGATCACTCTTAAGGCTTAATTTAAAGGGTTAAAAGAATAATGTGAATTATAATAATGAAGTTATGCATAAAATTAGGAAATAGAACTTTGGGTTGCAAAATTCTGCAGGTGTGATTGAGGTAAGAGGGTCTGTCAGTCAATTGGCTCCCAGAATTGCACAGAACAGTGTGTAAATAAACTTGGTGCTCCAAGTCAACCAGTTTTAACTTAATAACATTTCTCCTATGGCAGAAATAGAAAGGCAGGCATCCTTTTGGTAGTGAACAAGGTTCTGCGGCATTGATTGGAGTGCTAAGAGGACTTCGGGAGGAATTTATCACTATTGTAGAGGTAGGTGTTTTGGGAGTACAATGTTTTTCCTGATATTGTGATACAAAATACCACAGGAGTGCTACAAACTCAACTGTACATTGAACCCTAAATGCTTGGGAATCCCAGATACAAGTGGAAGTCAGACAAAATTGAGATACAATTTAGCTTTTGTTATGAAGGTATCCCTTGGGGGCCATTCCCATCTTCAGACTACACCAAATCTCACAGAATAATAATGGCTTCATAATACTTAATGAATTTTGATGTACAGGTGCAAAATTTCTTGATTGGTGGGAAATACATGTACTAAGATAATCTTCTTGTATCAGGACATGCACACTGTAATTACCTCCTCAATGATGTGTGAATGTATTAGACATAATTATGCTATCATTCTTTTTCCCATAACATAAAGGAAGCATAATTTCAACAAACTATAATTTATACAGTATACCATAAATGAATACCTGAAAACTGGAAAGAAGTAATTAAACCAACATTTTTTTGACAATAGTATTGTTATGACCATACTGACTTTTTATGTGTATGCACTGTTTGTTGTGTTTTGATTATTGTTTTTATCATTTCTAAAATTATAACATTTGTTTTTATTGCAGAGGGATGCAGATGTTGACAGGAAAATTCAGGATTTTGTTTTGACAAAGGGAGGCATTATTTGCCAGTTTCCTCAGAAGAAGATTGATGCAGTGATAGTATTGCTTGGGTGTTTTTATGTATTTGATGTATCATACACCCAATGCAAAGCCATCTTGACTTTTCTAGATCAGGCATTGCTTGAAAGTGGACTGGGGCAGACACTTGTCAATGTTTCCTCCCTTTTTCAATGACTCGGCAAATACCTCAGTTCTTGCTGAATGTAAATGCAGGACAACCTCACAAGGTGTAGCCAAATTGTCAAAAATTTTTTCATGGAAGTTTGCTTTCACCCTTATAGACCAAGATTTGGCAAGATTTTTTAAACATAATATCTGTGGAGTAAAATATAGTTTAAAACATTTGCCAAGTCATTAAGGGCTGGGCTGGTTTACCAGTAAGATACAGAGTCAGAACTGTAATCAAAAGCATAGAGTGTTGATCTAGATATAACACTAACATGGTATAATTACTCCTATTGTGACTCCTTCACTTTTGATCTAGTGAAAACTATAAAGCGTGGGAACAAGAATTTTGACTGGTAAGGGGTTTATCCTTTGATGATTCCACCTCTGCTTAATCTGGTTTTCTACATCATAAGCAGAATCTGAAGAGTAGAAAGTTTTGATGACTCCAATTCCATCAAGCTTCTAGTAATGACTTCCCTTGCAACTCTGATTTTTGATTTTCACTAGGTGATGAGTGCTCTTACTACTCTGAGTATGACCCTGACTTTGTCACAAGTGAAAACCACCCTTCATTAGGATTAGGTCAAGTCATTAAAGGCTCGCACTAGCAAGGTAGACAGAGTCGGAGTCATAATCAGAAGCTTGAGAATTGATATAGCTAAAGCATCTTAGTTCATTATTGCTCTTACAACTCTTTTGCTTTAATCTAATATATGTTGTGGTTAATTTTTTATCTCAGGTAATTTTTATTTTTCCTTTTGTTTTAACTTCATTAGCATACATTAACATACCCAAAAACAAAAGAAAAACAAAAATTACCTGAAATAAAAAATTAACTACAACATATACATCGTCGGAATTGTTAGCAGGAGAACTTGACCAACTCTGACAATCATTTTTTTGTCAAAAGGGGAGTTATAAAAGAAACCTTAATTGACTCCAATTCTGGTGAGCTTTGATTAATGAAACCCTTTACAACTCCAATTTTTGATTTTCACTATAGGTTTTAAGTGTTCCTATGATGCTGATTATGATTTTGACTTTGTCTTTTGTGAAAACCGTTTTAAGAAGTAGTTACTTTGATCGCACCAAAGACAAGTGTCTCTCTTGGCCAATTTAATTCCTCCAATAATTCTAAATGTTCAATCTAGAAAAGTTGAGATTAACTGAAGATAATATTACATAAATAGGTTGGAATACGCGTTGTTATGATGTACACAGATCACAGTAACTTATTCAGAACTGAATAAATGTTTGAAATAAGCCTTAGTTTGGTTTCATTATTTATCAATACCCTAATTAAGGGAAAAAATCTGTAGGCCCCCACCCAAATTAAAAAAACCATAATGGCCCGTTATGGGGCTGAATCGGCTACTTTTGGAGGGGTAGTTTTTAAGAGGGCCAAA